CTTGGAACCTTTTCAAATTTGGATTTGCTATACACATGGATATCTGTGATTAGACTAGCACCCTTTCTTGTTAAAATGATTGCTCTTTGATGTCAAATCTCCTAGCCAAAGAAGGAGGATGTTCTGAGTTCCATGCCTGATATGCTTTAGGATAAAGTGAAGTACATTACTCACTCCGCACCAGTGGACCTGCACAAAGAGTAGCACAGAACTGCTTTCCCTTTGCACCTGTGCTTTCATCTGCTAATGATTTCCTAATTAGCAATAATTGTCTCTTGTCTGCCCTAGAATCATGAAGCACGCTGAACCTGCCATCAGAAATCACAACCAAGTGGTCTTATAATCAAGACCTAATTAAGAACAAAATGCACACTTCATTATCTTATGGCATGTGTTTTGTTACTGCAAACTTAATTAATTAGAGTTCAATTAATCCAAAAATGGGCTGTTCTTTCCCTACTGTGGATGTGATGGTGGGGAAGACAAGCTTGGTCTCAGAGACTGACTTTCCTTTGTTCTGTAGAGTGTGGAATCCCTGGCTATGAAGAAGACCCAAACTAGTTTCCAGAGGGCCCAGCAGAGGGAACTATGAGTGGTGAACTCCTGCAGACTTCCTTCTTAGTTTAGAAGCAATAAAAATAAAAGAAAAAAGAAAACCTGTATATCATTCGAGGGTTCCCAGTGTGTAACTCAGAAATTTTCAGTACATGTTAGAAGGATAATGTTAGCCCTTCAAAGTAGGCCAAGTCAGTAAACCCCATGAATTACTGGAACTCTACTCTATTGTTATGCGCTATAACAACAGAATCTTGAAAGCCTGACAGTTTCTCCCTCCCTCTTATACCAAAAAGACTCAAGGCAGGGTAATCTTGAGCTTCTTCCTCACCCTCTCCTCTCTTTCGAGGCTGAGTTGGTGGTTATATAATAGCTGTTGCATTCTAGCACTGCTAAGAAGACCAGGAAATCAATTCCACAAGAAGACTAAAATTACCTTTATTGAGATTGGCTATTATAATAGAATCTTGCAAGTCTGATTGGGCCATACCTCTTCCTCCTTCTTATAGTTCAATGAATTAGGGAGGTGTCTATCTGAGCCACTTCCAAATGTTTTCTTACAGTTGAGGACTTAAAAAGTACTTCAGCCCCTTTTACCTAGATAACAGCTCTGCATATCTCTGTCAAGGTCATCTTCCTTACTATGTATACATACCTTTTTCAAAACCTTCTCTGAACTTTGCAAATAACCTGCTGGTGCTTCCAAAGTTGGCCCACCACAGTATCTCAAATTCCCACACAGTCAGTAGTGAACTGGTACGACTTTGTATGGAAGAGTGTAGGGGGAACCTTTAGTTTTTCCTCTCCAGAAATTTTAGTGCAGCTGAATTTACTGTTTTCTCCCTGTTTTCTCACCACTTGACTCAAAACCCTTTAACCCTCTCCACCTCATGATACTAACTTCAAGCCTGAACTCCAGTTCCTGGCTGCCATTCTCCACCCAGGAAGGACAGCATTTCTGCATGCACATCCATGTGTACAAAAATGCCTAGGCTGCCCACAACCCACCATTCACCACTGCATGCAATCAGTTTTATAGTTTTAAAATGGATCTGAATCAGGAGAAAAATCTACTGAGACTTTTTTTTGTTATTTCACTAAGTACTGTCATCTAACCTCAGCCCTGTATCCAGCAGAAGCCTGATGGCAAGACAAGTAAAAGAAGCCATCAGAGCTACCATCTCTTTCAACTGAATAACTAACTTTGGCTATGGAAGGGAAATCTCTGACTTGCAAGCTACAACCTTGTTTATATTATATAATAATTTAATTGAAGATAAAATAATACAAATCTTACAGATAAAGCATTCTGGTGCACAGTCAAATGGAAAGTATTCAAATGCATATTTTGGTCTAAAAATCTGAAGAATAGGAGATCATTTGCAAGTTCACATGAAACAAAAGCCACATTTTCCCTCCACATGCTCCAATCCAGTGTTTGATTTACAGCCAATATGTAGGAGGGTTTGCAGCTTCAACATACATTATAACCATATTTACCTGGAAGTAAGACTGTAACTCATTTTCCCTATGTTGAAGGCATTCTTTTCTGTTGTTTAAATAATTTAAAACATATATACACATACCTACCTCAGGATGTCAGGAAGAAAGGTGTTTGGAGAAATTTGGCTGCCCTCTCTGCTCTGTCATACCCTGAGTGGACATTGAACACATCAGTTCTAGAAAACAAAACATTAAGATTAGTATGATGACTTTGCAAATGTTTTTAAAAGAACTCTGATCTGTTTGGAGCTTTTAATATGATTGTGTATCTTAAGTAATAAATGCAGGATCCCTGAACTAAAGGGAACTTAGGGTTAGAAGTTCAACCCAGAGTTCTCACTCAAGGTACAAATGACCAGGCTCAAATTATCCTACTTTGGATGCATTATGTGAGGAACTAGCTCCCTGGAAAAGGCTCTAATGCTGGGAAAGGTGGGAAGAAAGAGGAGAAGAGGGCAACTAGCAGCAAGGTGGATATACTCAATTATAGCAGCGATGGGTGCTCTGGAGACAGAGCCTCCTGAAGATGATCTATCTATGTGGTCATTAAGAGTTGACACTGACGTGATGGCATATAATCAATTCTCATTTAATATCTTAATCCGGTATGAATATTTCATCTGCATCATAAAATAAAAAAAGAATAATGAAAAAAGAAAATCAAGTTGGGAAAGAGAGGGGAAGAATAAAATACAGTGGTACCTCTAGTTACGAACTTAATCCATTCCGTGACTCTGGTTGCAACTC